AATAGGCCGGACAGGGGCCATGAGACTGTCCGTTCTGTGAATAGGACATTGGCCATCAGGGGTGTAGCGTAGCTCTTTTCAGTCTGCTTCGAAAAGTCATGTGACGCGCAAAGCATTCAGATTTTACCCTATTTTCATTTTTGCAGCCAACGATACGGGCTCATCTCAGCCAGCTCCTTTATTTGGAATGTTAACGGTAAACTGCACTCATCTAACCTATGGCGCTTCTCACAAGAATTCAATGAGTCTAATTCAGCAGACTATAAATCTTTCTACTTTGATTTTGGACTTCATGTACCAACAGATGCTTCTTGCAAGGGTTTTGCTGGACGCTCCGACATTTGGACTTGCAAACGAACATGCTTCTTTTCCTCGAATGGAAGGGAGCAGTAAGTTGGAACAAAAACCTCATAGTGTAGTGAATTTAAAAAACACTGGTATTTTCTACTCCTTGCTTCACACTGTGCTGAGGCACATGCAGTCCAGTCGACGCATCCACACATGCATTGGAAGAACATTGAACGTGGACACTTTACGATACTTTTTGGGCGTTCTGCGGGCATGGTTCAGCAAACCGCAGATGCTTTGCTTGTGAATTTTGCGATACTGCGCTATGCGCCTGGCTTGCTTTTTGGAGAAATAGACTTCAGAAACATAATTGGAAGAGGATTCCATAGGGGATTGCAGAAAAAAATTCTACTCAACGTGTGATCCATTTATTGGGAAATGCTAGAAGTCCATCTTTTTCTGAATGGACTGTAAGTGGCAACATCTCAGTTCATTCTGATAACCTAGTTACGTTATCATGTTCAAGCCTCATTCATGAGCTCGCCATGTTTGAGCAACAGAACTAGGTCTTTGCTGTGATCTCGAACTCGTAAGTCACGATTTTATTGCAAACTTAAAGTGGTGTGTTAGGAAAATAGAGTACACGACAACTACTCCTCCTATGTGCACATGCGTAATCTCTCTCTCTCTCTTTCCTGAAACCAGAGTAAGGGTATATCATTGTTGTATATGCATTGCATTCCCCTAACCCCTCCCCTCTCTCCGCTCGCAGACTGTTCGTCAACTGACTTACCGCCAACTTAGTTTGCAGCTGACCCAATCCTTGTTCAAGACGTGCAGCTCTCCCGTCAGAATTCTACAGGGGAGAAAGGCGAGAGTGGTCAATGCAAAAAAATATTTTCAACTCTTGAAAGCGGCATTTTGACCCAGGTACACGCATACCTTGTTCAAAAGCCCCGCTTGCCAGAGTTCTATCAGATTCACAGAAGCTTTTTTGCGATGCGACGCGCGATGCGACAGCCGCAAAACGGGAAATCCCCAAATCGCAGCCATCTCGCACCCCACGCTGCCGCAACTGGGCCATCGCAGAAGTTGAGCTTGCCTCAATTTTTGCGATGCGACAAGCGATTTGGCGTACAATTTTGACCTTTTCTACAGCAAAGTTGTACAAAGGTTCAAGAGTTGCCTATAAAATTGTACAAGTTGTACCAAACCGCGCGAATACCATGGTGACGGATCTACCTGCATTGAACTTCGCGCCATATCAGCAAGGCGTTGTCGCATCGTTGACTTCTTCTGTGAATGGTATTTAGCAAGTTCGCATCACACGTGTCCGTCGCAGATCACGTCGCATCGTGTGTCGCATCTCAAAAAATCTTCTGTGAATTCCGCTTTGCACATGTTCACGATTGGTTAAAACATTCAATCACTGGCGGGCTATTCTATCAAAGGTTGAATGGCGTTTGATGATCTTTTTCCAGTATAGCCTTGCAGTCCACACCCACTTTAGACTTGGCTGAGCCTGCAGGGCAACGCGCTAGCAAAGTTGTCCTTATGGTCTTTTAGCGTTAAGTTAACATAAGCTTAAGCTTTTGACTTACGGAGCATGTCCATTCTATTATCTATACCTAGATTCTTAGCGATCTTCTTTGCCTCCCTGGTGTCTTCACCGAACGCATGCTCTTGTGCTATTTCATAGTTTGTTGTCAGTAGCTGATGGAAAGATTTCATTTGTTGTTGCTGTTGTTGTTGCTGTTGCTGTTGTTGTTGTTGTTGTTGTTGTTGTTGTTGTTGTTGTTGTTGTTGTTGTTGTTGCTGCTGCTGCTGCTGCTACAGCAGCTACTGCTGTGGCTGTAGTTACAGCCCCTCTCGTTGTCAGGAAATGTTTGCTTGTGCTACTTCTCATCCAGTTGACTTCTTATTATGACTTTGTACGTCATAATTTTGTTGAGCTCCGGTTTTCCCCTTCATTCTAACTCAAGTTCAGTTTAGCGTGTATTGGCTTGTGATTTCCTTTCTTCTGTTTGCTTGGCATTTTATCGCTCCACAGGTACCCTCGGTCTCAGGTGCTCTCACATTTGTGCAACTGTTGATTTTGGTCCTGAATTGTCCTCTCTGTTGCTTTGCTACCGTCCTCCTCCTTCCTCCACATTTTTTTCTTCTTAATTGGCCTCATTATGGCATTCGCTTCCATGTAATTGGGCTTGTAGCCCGTGTGTACTTGCGAATTCAAATAAAAAATATACATACATACATACATTTAAATTGAGGCGCTTGAGTAACTTGAGCCAAAATAGGTCAGGTCACACCTACTGGGGATCAAAAGTAGGGAGGGAGGGCCTCTCGGTTACTGGCCGACTGCTCTATCACTAAGATATAGGCACTATACAACCTCTGGATGTGTCCAATATCAGGTACTCAGTACTGTATTCTTCAAGCTGTAAATACTGGCTATGTTTTCACATATGTACTATACCTCTGCATACATTGTACTTCAGAGTATGTGCCCATATTTGGATGGTGGTAGGCACCGGCGGATTATGCCGGCATAAGTATTGGCATAATTTGGTGGTTGAAAATTTGGAGCATAATTTGGCATCCTCTCGGAGGTAGGAGCATAACTACACGATTATACCACAGTTGTAGTATGTAGGCTATGTACAATTGTGTACAATGCACCTGATCAGTGCTGGTGGTCTGCATGGTAAAGGGTTCGGAGGTCATGCAGATAGTGTTTTCAATGAAAAGCAGGGTAGAAATCATGGCAATACAGTTACGATATTGTATGCTCGAACTCGTCTTCTTCAAAGTTCTTTCTCACACTGACACAGTACATGTAGCAGAAGATGCGAGTGAATCAGCCTTCATCAGGTATCCCGTAGCGGACGAGATAGTGGCGGGTAGTCCGCAAAACTCCGTGTACATGTACATGTACATTACATTTGTACATTATGCTTGTTACGAAGTCATGACTTCTGGTAGTCTGGATTTTAGCAGCCATGATATGACTGCAGGCTATGGATATTGCTCGAAACGGATGTATAGTTGATGTTCGGTCATGATGGAAGGAGAAGTGGAGCTACGGGAGAGATGAGCTGATTATTCGCAGGGTGAGGGTGACATCGGTTGGACGAGTATGATGATTATGAAGACCGTCAGTTGAACATGATAATCTCAAAGGTAACTCAAACTAATAATAATAATAACTTTATTAGGATGACCCAAAGGCTGGCCGCCTATCGTGGGGTCCGTCGCATTGAAGGATGATGGTACAAGAGAGTACAGGTTGGGAAGGGGGGGGGGACTACGATGAACAGGGTAACGGCATGCCAGCGAGTAGACCTGAATACTGACAAGAATGTTTGCGCAGCTCTCTCTTGAACTAATTTGGCAATGAAATAATATTTTTTACTGAAGTACAAAAGAAATCAAGTGATGAATAGAAGAAGTAATGTTTTCTCTTTTCCATGTTGATCTCTAACATGCATGGACACCTTGCAGCTTGGTATGGGGATACTCATGTATTTTGTTGTACTTATGGCCACTTGCAACTTGCAAGTACGAAAAAGGCACAATTTTCCGAACTTTGAGGCTCCATAAGTACAACAAAGTGAATATATCCCGGGGTGCCAAAGCATAATATGAGGATTTTACGAGCATAATGCGAGAATCCATGAAAGCATAATTCCATATTTTCGCGAGCATAATCCGCCGGAGCCTATCATGGTGGTGGTGCTGTGGGGGGGGGGGGGGGTGCTAAGATGCGTGATTCACGTGTTACAATATATCCCCAGTAGGCTTTCCTCAAATCAGGTTTTTCGCCTATTCGACTTTTCGCTAGGATCAAAAATACAACAGATTCGGCTACAAAGTCAGCTGATTTTTTGAAACTTGGCTGCAAAATTGGAATAATTATATTGGGAAATCAGCTGAAAGAATTGTTGGCATATTGGCTTCAAAATTGCACTTTGCAACAACATAAATTTTGGTAGATTTTCGGTGATTCTCAAAGGAACCCTCCAAATCGGCGAAACGCTAAGCGATTTTTCGATAAGTCTCATTTTCAGCGAATTTTTTGGTCAGCCGATTTGGGGAAAGCCTATCGAGCGGTCATGCTTGCAGCAACATCATTCGTTCGTAAAAGCACTTTGGAACAACATTGGGTAGATTTTTGCAGATTCTCCAAGGAACCCTCCAAAATCGGCGAAAAGCTTACTGATTTTCAAAAGTCTCATTTTTGGCGAATTTTTCGGCTGGCTGATTTGGGGAAAGCCTAAGCCTGAGGCATGTTTTCTCTCACAAACCACTTACCCGCAAACTTGACTTGACAGCATTTAGGTCTTGTCTTAGGTTGGTAGAGTTTCTCTCTGAGCTCTTTTGAAGAATAGCAGCATAAAGACAATACAACACACAACAATCATTTAGATACAGGAAACATAGATCATCATGCTACGCCATGAGCCGAATTACACAATTTGATCATATCCAATAACTGATCCAGACATTGGCAGTAAAACGGGCATGTGTCACTTCAGTCATTGAGAAACATCAGCATCCCATATACAGTACTCGAAGTATTACAAAGACAGTATGTAAAGGATTACATGTATAATTATGGTTATCAGCATCAGAATTCTGGCACTTCGAACAGCAAGCTAGAGGTTACTCTGCTGATTATTTAACTGAATCTTTTTATCTGTTCCTTAACTTACCTCAAACTTGGTTTGAAGCTGACCCAAAGTTTGTTGCAGGCTCGCAGCTCTTGTGTTTGAGCTCTGAAATGAAAAAAGTCGACAGGTCACGACACAATCTCTATACGATTAGAGTTTCTCGCGAATATTAGATTCCCTGAGAAAGGGGAGAGGTGTGTGCAAACCAGAACTAACAATAATTCTTCGGTACATTTAAAAGATAGCTTGAAAAGTGCATTGCTAGGCCCCTAGGGCTGCCACGACAACCAATCCTCCAATGTGCACATTCGGAATTTCTCTCTCTTTCCTCAAACCAGATCAAGGGTATATCATTGCTGTATATGCATGGCATTCCCCTAACCCCTCCCCTCCCTCCCCTCGCAGCCTGTTCCTCAACTGACTTACCTCCAACTTAGTTTGCTGCTGGCCCATTGCTTGCTCAAGACGTGCAGCTCTCCTGTCAGAATTCTACATAGAGAGAAACGGGAGAGTAGTCGACTCCCCAAACAGTTTGCAACTCTGGCAAGCGGGCCTTTTGAGCAAGGTACACCGTCACGCATACCTTGCTCAAAAGACCCAGGGTCGGACGATCTGCCCAGGCCTCACCACCACTGCAGTTTCTGTGCTGGCTTCTCTATACATACACAATGTACACTGCATATGTGCATGTTTATATGTGTGAAGGTTTGTGGTTTTCAATAACAAATAAATACATCAATGAACAAAAAGCCCCGCTTGCAAGAGTTGTGTCAGGTACACGTGTACCCGGTTGGTTGAAAAATTCAATCACTGTTAAAACCTTTGTGTACCAGGCATCTAATGTATGCGCGGGGTACTCATCGGTAATGATGGACCTATACTATAGCATAAAACTAAGACACATTTTGTATGTGCAAGTTATATTTTTCTGAATCTGTTGGTATCAATGTGTCCAGGTAAGAAAATATTTTGACCGAGCACAAAACTACAGATACAGGCCACACCTGGAATACCTATTTCTGAGTCAATTGTCCATATTCCTGACAATTTAGATCCGTGTACTTGGAATCGTGAATATACTTGCTGACATTGCCCTTCTTCACACAGAGCAACAGGAGACCACTGCACTAGTGTATAGCCGCCAGTTGCATGCTTCAACAATAGCGAAATGGACGGAAAAGAGCCATACTGCGTGAATACCAGATGCCAAACAATTGCATCAAAATGTCAAATTATTGAAATTGTGTCAGATTTGAATATGTACTTTTCACTTATCTACTTGCGTCCAGCGAGGGTATTGGCGATTGAGAAGACCAGGAATAGTCGATGGGTGAGGAAATTCACCTGCCTTGATTATTTCAGGCCATCGCTGCGCTCCCTCTCGCTGCTGCTTGGAGAGCGAATACTGCAATGGCTTCAGCGATGGAAATTCTCATTTTCGATTCAGATCCTGAGATTATATCGCTACTATAACTCTCTCATGGCGTTCACCATCACTAGTAGACATCGACAACAGCTAGAGCAAGCTATATTCCAGATACAAGCAGCGTAACCGAACGAAGAAACGATCGAAATTGCTAAAATATATCGCAGAGCGCTGAAATTGCAAAGCGCACTTTTCGCCGCGATCGTTCTCCATACTTTCAAATGGCAACCTACCCACATCATACATCAAAATAATTATTTGCAGTGCAAGTGGGATCTCAGCTGCCCAGCGCAAAAAACCGCGAGTCGATCGGAGCAAGGACGTCGCCGAACGGCGCGGCGCAGTGCGGTGCGTCGAACCGTAACGTACGTTACGGTTCGAGATGGGGCTGGTACACAAAGGGTTAACTTTACTTAATCGGACCATTCTATTAAAGGTTGAATGGTGTTTGGTGCCGAATGGCAGTCATGACCTGTTTCCAGTATAGCCTTGCAGTCCACACCCACTTTAGGCTTGGCCGAGTCTGCAGGGCAACGCGCTAGCAAAGTTGTCCTTATGGTCTTTTAGCGTTATAGATGTTTATGCTTGTGACTTATTCTGTTGTCTACATCTAGATTCTTAGCAATCTTCTTTTTCGGTACATTTAAAGATAGCTTGAAAAGTGCATTGCTAGGCCGCTGGAGAAGTTCAGCGGTTGCTAAGAGACATGATTCACGTGATACAATATATTCCCCAGGCACTGATTTCTCTAACAAATCACATACCCGCAAACTTGACTTGACAGCATTTAAGTCTTGTCTTAGGTTGGCAGAGTTTCTCTCTGAGCTCTGTTGAAGGATAACAGTCCATAGACCATAGACCAATACAACACACAACAACCATCAGATACACGAAACATAGATCATCATGCTACGCTATACAGCTCATCAGACAACGGTTGATCATATCAAATTTTACTGAGCCCGAATTTTCTTATCAAATTTTACTGAGCCGGACAACAGACATTGGCAGTAAAACAGGTATGTGCCATTTCAATATAATACTATCTCTAAGCATGTTTTCTCTCACAAACCGCATACCCGCAAACTTGACTTGACAGTACTTAGGTCTTGTCTTAGGTTTCTCTCTGAGCTCTGTTGAAGAATAGCAGTACATAGACCAATACAAAACAAAACAATCATGAAACATAAAATTTAATCATGAAGCTATGAATAAAATTACACAGCTTGATCATATCCCATATTTGAGCCAGAAACTGGCAGTAAAACGGGCATGTGTCGCTTTAGTCATTGAGACCCATCAGCATACCATAATACGGTATGCTGATGGTTCTCAATGATTATACGTGAAGGATTATTCCCGTAGCTATGCAAAAGACGTTACTTGAGTAACGTCTGGCGCTAGCCAGGGTCCACACAGCTTTTTAATTCGGCAATTATTTGTTGTGTCGTCGGGCATGCCTGGCGCTATAGGGGTGACAGTGTTGAAGCTCTGAGCAGATGGCGACGGCAGGAATGCCTTCACAGAGAGTAGAAGATGGGAGTAGAGAGGTACCGCTGCCTCGAGAGTTGCCGTGCTTGCGAAAGGCTACACCGGCAACAAGAAAAAATGGAGCAAATATCCCGTCGTTTGGAGACCCGCCGACTTCGTGAAAAATGCGTCGACAGCAAGAGACTGCTGAACAGGCATCCAGTCGGCAGGAGAAAAGATGTGATCATGACAGAACTGGTTCGGTATGCGGTGACTGCGGTCCGTTGGCATAGGGCCGTCATCTATGCAATCTATGCCGTTAGGCAAAATACGTTACTTTATCGGCTACATCATTGTATTGCAAAAACATTTCCGTCAGTTCGAATAACATTCATGATGAGCTAGGCAAAAAGCATAGCGTAGGGCCTGAGCTTTAAAGCTCTCTCGTAGTGGTTATCACAGTCAGAATTCTGTCACTTCGAACAGCAAGCTTGGCGTGACTTGCAGATTCTTAAAAAATGAATCTTTCTATCTGTCCCTTAACCTACCTCAAACTTGGTTTGAAGCTGGCCCAAAGTTTGTTGCACGCTTGCATTTGAGCTCTGAAATGAACAAAGTCGACAGATTGTTTGTGAATATTACAGCACATGAGAAAAGGGGAGGGATGTGTGCAAACTAGAACCAACCCATAACTTGTGTACATTGAGGTCAGGTAGCTTGAATATTGCATTGCTAGGCCCCTGGCTACCACGACAACCAATCCATCTGTGCATGAACGTGATTTCTCATTCTCTTTACTGAAACTAGAGCACGGGTATATCATTGCTAACCACCATTTCACGTCAGGTATGACTTGCATTCCACTAACCCTCCTTTCCCTCGCAGACTGCTTGTCCACCGACTTACCTCAAACTCGGTGTGGAGCTGGTCCAATGCTTGCTCAAGACGTGCAGCTCTCCCGTCTGAGTTCTGCATTGAGACAAACGTAAGAGCGGTCAACACAAGAAATAAACCTTGCAAGTTACAGCACTAGTTGACAATGGCGAGACATTAATTAATTTTTTTTGATTATTGTATTATTACGAAGTAGTGGTTGCGACTTCGGCGATGATTTGTCAGAAAGGGTTTGCTCCCCACACTGGAGCTCGCGCTATGCCGCCGACTTTACTTGACACTTGACTGACTCACGACTGCCATCCAGAGCACACGAGAAGTCCATCGAACCTTCGACTCGGCAAACCTGCAAGAAAGCAGCACCACTCCCTGTTCAATACACAGTGTTTCGGGGAATTCACCCCTCATCAGTTGAGCTTGAGTAGGCTGAGGAAGATTGTGCCTGAAGAGCACCACTTATATAGTGCTCTCCAGGCACAAACATCACCAGGGATACAAACTTACAGGGACGCTCCATTTCCAGCGCGACAAACACCTCGTGAACACCAGATAGCAGCGTGAAGTCGCAACCACTACTTCGTACTGTTGTGCCCAGCGCGGGCTTGCGACTAGTTGGTTTGGAGGTGACAGCGTTGCGAATGACCGAGGGTCCTCAACGTCTGGTCTCACCGTCCAGGAGCGACACTGACTCACGCTGCTATCTGGTGTTCACGAGGTGTTTGTCGCGCTGGAAATGGAGCGTCTCTGTAAGTTTGTATCCCTGGTGATGTTTGTGCCTGGAGAGCACTATATAAGTGGTGCTCTTCAGGCACAATCTTCCTCAGCCTACTCAAGCTCAACTGATGAGGGGTGAATTCCCCGAAACACTGTGTATTGAGCAGGGAGTGGTGCTTCCTTGCAGGCTTGCCGAGTCGAAGGTTCGATGGACTTCTCTTGTGCTCTGGATGGCAGTCGTGAGTCAGTCAGGTGTCAAGTAAAGTCGGCGGCATAGCGCGAGCTCCAGTGTGGGGAGCAAACCCTTTCTTATTTTATTATTACTATTATTTTTCCACAATCACGATGACATAGTGCCAATAAGCATGTGATGCGGGCGATTTTAACCAGCCATGGTGGGGACAACTGAGAACAAGAAGGAGAAGAAAACAAAACAAAACAAGTACTATAGGAACCTGGGGAGAACAGTATGAAGATTAGGCTAGCAATGGAAAACAACGAATTCAATTCAATTCAACATAGGCGCGGGCAGAATGGAAAAAATGCAGCGAAGGTGTCACGAGACTTTACCTCCTGCTCAAGCCGAGACCAATGAGAATAGGACTTGAACAGAGGGGATTTTAAAAGGATCGATGATCTGGCAAGTGGGAAATGGAGAGAACATCTAGTACGCGAGCTATTATTGAACCAGCTTAAATGCGCAAGTGCATGAGGAGGAGCAAGTTGAAGCTTACTACGGTGAATGAATTTGCATGCCGAGTGGGGAAAGCGTTCTGAGAGAGGGGAAGAGGAAGCCAAAATGTATAGCATCTGAGAGGAGGTCAGAGGGGGCATGCGAAATATTAATCGAAGTAATTTACGGTGGGTGACTTCTAACCGATGCATAAGAGCGGAGGATAGACCGGAGGACCAAACGAGAGAGCAGTAATCAAACAAAGGAAGAACATAAGAGTGATAAATTTGTATTCGACAACATTGCCACCGTCACGTCATTCATCACCTGAAGGAAGAGTACCTGAAACCCGGGTGTCATGTACTCTTGGTTAGCCAAATCAGAAGAAAAAATTGACCACCGCCAAGACTCACGCCAGGGACCCTTGCATTAGGCCAGCGATGGTACAGTCGTCACCGCAGACTACACTAACATTCATTGTCTCTTTTCTCGAGTTTCCTATGATCAGTCAAAACTTACCTCGAGATTGGACTGCAGACGGTCCACGACTTGCTGAAGGAGTGAAACTTTCTTTTCAGAACCCTGCCAAAGAGAATGAAGCAAATTCGCGGGGAATTTTAATGACTATGTTTACTGAGGGATCGTTTTCTGCAAATTAGTTTCTGTATTCATTGCATGTTCAGCACTAAAAGCTGCATAAGGTATGTCTAAAAATCATAATAATAAATTCTCGGTTCGCGTGAGATTCGGCTGGAAGCAGAGTTTTCTGCATCCGCAGGAACGCCACCACCCTCTAGGATCAAGGCGCAGATTCAGCTCCTCAAAGCATTGGGAGGTGAGGAGATCAGACCCACCACAAAGTGGTCAAAGACCGGAAATCCCATTCACTGCATCCATGTTTCCCTCGTCCCAGGCTCACAATTAACTGTGGCTCACAGCACGGCTGGAAAATATCCTCCCGCTTCGAAATAGGACTTGAACCTGGTACTCTCTTTTTCTCAATCATGCTCTTAGACCCCCCCCCCTACTAGCATTCCTGCCTAATGCCTAATGTTAGGTATGTCTAAGCTGTAAAGTAAAGATCGCACATCTGAGCTACCACCGGTGGCGGCCAAAAGAAACAGATGCAGTGCCTAGCTGCAAACGTGAGGTGGTAAATCTCACAACCAAGAGCCAGGAAAGACTCGGGGCGAAGCGTCGCTGGCCGCATCCATGCCACCAAAGCAAGTAGAGCTAATGGAACATTTTCAAACCATTACCTGGAGTAGCGTTGTAACATTCCTTAACTTCTTGGTCTTGATTCTTGATTTCTGCAGGCCAGCCAACAGAGGAAAAGATGGGAAGAAAGGCACACGCAGACACTTAGGGTGAGATAACAAATGCCAAAACACAGCAGACGTCTGACGATCACCATCTCTATCCAACTCAACATCACCATCATCAGCAGCAGCACCATCCATGTCATCCTACTATCCTTAACCCGTCTCAATCTTCAACAGTTACTCTTCCTCTGCTCCATCCTCCTCCTCCTCGAGTTTTATGTTTGATCACATTGTTAACGCATACCTAATCATTGTATTTTTGCTTGGCTTGCCTTCACTTCAGTCACGATATATTCCACTGATGATAGTGACATTAAAATCGAGCCTGGACAACATTTGACTTCGTTGATGCATGGTGATGCCGGCAGAGTTACTTCTATTTATTGCTTTAATAAAAGTGCTTTATGAGTACATTGCCTGAGAGACCTAGCATCACTTTCGGTTCTGATCTGATTTATACAGAGTTGTGGTAACAGCCAGGGTAGGTTCAGACTGTGTGGAGTGCTGAGCTGTCGGCATACACGTAAGAGAAGCAGTCCGCTTGGATGTCACTTTGACTAATTTTTGGTTCAATAATTGGTTCAGTGGATGGCGGGTTGAACTCCCGTCAGCTCTCCTTCTGGAGGGTATTTCTGTTCCTCGGACTATGTCTAAGCCAAGTTTTTTTGACAAATGAGTAGTGATAGCCTGAAGCCTGGGCTTGTTTTTCACCGGAGACATGAAAGAGCTGGAGCGCCGTCGTGCCGTGTTGGCA